CCGCACCTTTGCTGGCACTTCCTCCATAGCGCTTCCCGTCCGCCAGCTCTCAGTTCACATGTCACCTCCCAGCTTTCCCACCTCTGCAGCAAGCACCTCCTGTCAAACTCTGGGACAGGCAGCCACCCTGGTGCTCTGCCTGATCACCTCACTGCTGCTGGCCTTCAAAAGGCTGTAAGGCACCTGAGGGGCCCAGGACCCGGCCTGTCTTGCTCTTCATGGCATCCCAGTGCCTGTTGCAGAGCCTCGTACCCAGCAGACTGCCAAATAAGTGTTGGATGGTGGGCAGATGGGCAGACGGATGGAAAGGCAGGTAAAGGGATGGATAGGTAGGGTGGGCAAGCAGATGCATGGATGAATGGGTGGAGAGATGGGTGGGTAAATGTGTAAGTGGGTGGATGGGTGGGTGGATTATAGGGAAAGGGAGTTGCCAGAGGCCCCTGCAGTGGTCCTGGTCTCCTGAAAGCCAGTATGACGTCCTCTTCCTCGAGATAGGAAAATGGGAATTAAAAGAAACACAGAGATTGGGGCTGGGGATTTAGCTCAGCAGTTCTGGCGCCTGCCTTGCAAGCACAAGGTCCCGAGTTTGATCCCCGGTACCAAAAAAAAAAAAAAAGAAACACAGAGACAGAGACTTGAGAGAACTTGAGTTTCAGGCTGATCTAAGCCGCTCTGGGCAGCAAAGACAAAGGACTCCAAGGACATCCAGTGTTCATTCATTACAAGTGTGGGAAGGGGGAAACGGCAGGCCTTGGACACCTGATGATAACAAGTATCAAGCAGGCAGGACTGGAGAGTGAGGGCACAGCATATCTGTGCTGAAGAGAACACACGGTTAATTCAGAGAGAAGAATTTAGCTGGAGTCAGTGGACCTTGGCCGGAGTGAACTCAGCCGAGCTCTGCTGCTTCCAATGTGACACAGCTGAATGATGGAGGGGCGAGAAGCTTGTGTCACTGCAGCCTGCTGATCCTGGGCAGGGGTGTCTGGAACAATGGATGGATGAACAGACAGGTAGATGGGTAGGTAGACAGATGGATGCAGGAGTGGATGGATAAGCGGATAAGTAGATGAGCAGATGGACGGACAGACAGATGGGTGGACAGACAGGTCGATCAGTGGATGGTGTTTGGATGGATGGATAGGTAGATGGGTGGGTAGCTGAACAGATGGGGAGATGGGTACTTGTACGAACTGACAGATGAACTGGATGGATGGAGTAGCTCAGCCAGGGGCTGCATAGGACAAGCACATCAGCCCCAGGCCAGGCCTACTCAAACTTCCTGCCATGTCAGAGAGAATCAATGCTCATGGCTTGTCCGGCCCTCGGGCGTCAGCCTCTATGCCAAACTGGAGCTCAGGGCCAGTGCCTAAGTCCTAGTCCCCAAGGGCCCTACACAGAGGACCTGGGCTCTCTGCTGGCAGTTTCCTCTCTGAGTGGTAGCATCACGTAAGGCTAAGCACACGCACTGGGGACCCACACGGCTTGGCTCTGAGAGCTCAGCCCTGCCGCTGACTATCCGTGTTGCCCTGGACACATCCTTCTGCTCTCCGGGCCCAGCTGGGGGACAGGGGCATGCGCTTGCATCCTGGTGGGCTGTAGCGGGGACCCCACCCACAACTGCATCTTGGGGACACAGCAGAGCTGAGCTGTGCGGTCTCAGGGTTGAGGGGGTCACTGCGGGCCAAGCTCCTCGTTCTCACCTGAAGTCAGGGTATGAGGTGGCATAGGTGGCCACCTCCATCTTGATGGCACTGGGGTCTTGCAGGCGGATGATCTCTGCCATTGTGGGAAGGGCGGGGTGCAGCCAGCTTGCAGGGGAGCCCTGAAAACACAGGTCAGGCTGCAGGAGGCCATGCTGTCCTGTGGGCCTTGGGGCTCAGGGCAGTAACTGCTCAGGCTTGGAGAGACCCAGGGGCTGCAGGCTCTGGAGGGGGCGGCAGGCTCACGTTCTGTTTGCAGAAGAGCTGGATGGTGTCAGCATTGGCCAGGATGTGACTCGCCAGCTGCTGCTGCTGCTCGGCCGTCTTGAGGACCAGTTGGCGCTTGCTGAGGCGGATGATGTATTCCTTCACCAGGTGCAGGTGCACAGCCTCCATGAGCTCCTGCGGCAGTGCCAGGGTGGCATGAGCCAACTACTGATGGGGAGCTCACCACCTCCCTGGGACCCTCAAAGCCAGGATTCCAGGGAGGGAGGAAGCCAGAGCACAGGAGTGCACACGTGTACGGGGGTGTGTGGGGTGAGGGTGCACATGCATGTCAGCTGGCAGGGGTGTCCGGCAGCCCCAGCCCCAGCCCCAGCCCAGGGGCTCCTCACCTCCCGGAAGCAGTCCTGCAGTTTCCAGAACTCCGGCAGCCGTCCATCCACAGTGGCGAGGATTTCCTCCAGGGTCTCAGCAGGCACCGCCCAGCGGGTCTTCGTGAACCTCTTGAACAGAGGCTGAGACAGGAGAAAGGCAGGATGTCTGGTCACACCCGGGAGAGGAAGGGCTCCAGGCCCAGACACCCTCGCGCTGACACACACGGCCCTCGGAGGGGCTGGGACTCAAGGCCTCCCAGGGACCGGGACAGAAGGCAGGTCGTGTTCTCACAGACAGGAAGTGGAGGCAGTCTGCACTCTTCTCCAAGGGCATGCAGCAGAGGCTCAGGAGCAGGCCCGCCTGTCTGCCGCCCCCCCCGGGGCCTTTCCACTGCCTCCCTCTTAGATAAACAAACTTCTGCATACACAAGGCCTTGTGCCGGGCTGGGCCTGTGAGACTGTGCCAAGTCACCAAGGGTCACTGCACCGGCCTTCACCACCCACCAGGTCTCCCAGGGACACTGGGCGGGAGGGAACCCCTCCTCAGCATTTCAAGGGACCCCCAACACCCCCTTTGCAGATTTCTTGGCCCCTAAGATATGTGATTCTGGTTGCCAAAGCCCCTAGCCCTGGAGCTGGGGGGCAGGTAGGAAGGTCTGGGGGCCCGGACTGGGGGTGCTGGGCTCCTCCAGGCTCCTCCCTTCTGTGCCCTCCCTCCCATGCTAGGCTCTGGACACGACGGCCACCTTCAGGTCCACGAACAGGTTCTGGAGCAGGATGTCAAAGCCGTGGCTCTTGATTTCACTCAGGGGGTCCAGCAGTTGCCTCTGGGGGTCCTGCAGTACCTGCCAGTTCTGCTCTATGGATGTCCTGGGTGGTGGGGGCAGCAAGGTCATACAGCCTGCCCAGCCTGCAGCCCCACAGAGGGAGCCCTGGACGGACCTTCTAAAGCTATTTCTTCACTCTGGAGCCCCCAGTGGCTCCCCATTCCCTGTGGAACCAAATCCAAGTCCTCTCATCCATGCCCCTGCCCCAGCACACACCTGCAGTCCCTCACTTTCTGCCTGAGAGCAAGCCATTCTCCTCCCCACCCTAGGCACCATGTGTTCTACAGATCACGGAGCTCTCCACAGTGCTGCTGTGAGGACAGACTAACCAGCAAGTCACCCTCAGGACGTGCCTGCTGCTGCTAGGCCTGGCCCTTTCCTGCGGCCTTGCTAACTTTGATGCCACATCTGTGGCTCCTCCTCCCTGCACCTCCCAGCCTCAGCTCTCTCTGGCAAGCCTGCTCAGACCCTCACCTGAAGGACAGGCAGTTGTTGATATTGGCAATAACGTTGGCCCTGTAATTTTTCAGCTGTTTGCCTCTCTCCAGAAATTCATCAAAGGTACGTTGGTAGCTGGTGAAACCAGAAGGGGCTCCTTTCAGGGCCAGCACAGACACTGTGACCGCAGCTGCTTCCCGGGCACCACCCTCTTTGGAATTAGTGCACTATCCTCCCCCGCTGTCCCTGGCTGCTCCTGCCCCTTCCCGCCCCACCCTCATGCATCTGGGTGACCAGAGGGTGCTGTGCCTAGCTCTCAAAGAGAAGCACCAAGCTTATTCTGGGGTGGAGACTGGGGGTGCAGTGGGAAGGCATGGCAGGGGTCCTGGGATGTCCTTTGGAGGACTGTTAGGGACTGCTCTATTGGTGGCTTGCAAATGCAAGTGGGGACAGGATGCACCCACACTGATTCCTGGTGCCTCTCACTGACCAGGGGTGGGGCTAGGCGGAGGATGGTGGAACTGCATGTCAAGTAGGGCACAGGGCTGACCTAGCTCAGACCCCGGTGAGGAAGGAGGGCCACGGCCCTGAGAGGTGGCCGAGGGGACCCGAGCACACCCACCTCCTCAGGAAGGTGGCCAGCTCCACCAGCAGCACTTGCTTAATCTGCAGGCCCAGGTCGGGGGTGATGTTCTCGGCCTTGGCCTCGCCCTGGGAGACAATCTGCAGGGGGTTGGGGGTGAGTAGGGCAGGGCAGGGCAGGGCAGGGCAGGCCAGGGGTGCTGGGGTCGGGCGTGCGCGTGCGCGTGTGCGTGAGAGTGAGTGGGCATGCACATTCCGGCTGCACATGGTGTCCCACGCATGCGTGGGGGAGCAGCTTGTAGTACCTGGATGATGTCGATGGCCAGCTCGCTGTGGCAGTGGCCGTCCAGCTTCTGTGGAGCTACATCCTGGGTCCAGCGCTGCGACTCCAGCTCCAAGGCCCGGGCCATCAGCTCCTTCACATTGTCCTGGGGTGGGTGGGGAGGCTGTCGGCGCCCTGCTCACCCGGAAGCCCATGGCTGTGCCTGCCCCGTCCTGTCATCTCCAGTGCTCCCCACCTCGGGCTCCTGGGCCAGGACTCACCACCTCATTGGACAGGAACGAGGCCTCCAGCAGCCGGATCTGCCTGGGGGGCAGCAGGCTCCCGAGGCTCACACCCTGCAGCTCAGCCGCCAGCGTGGGGCTCCTGAGGATGTCACTGTGGCACAGGGGGCTGGTGTGAGGGAAATGCGCCCATGTGGCAGCACCTCAGCAAGAGCTGCACCCTCTCCACTTGGCTCCTGTGTTAACCGTCTGCGCCGTCTGATTCGGGCCTAAACCCCAAAACTGCCACGCCTCCTCTTGCTCCCCGTCTGCTCCAGCTCTAGAGAGCCGCCCAAAGCCAGGGGTGGCAGTGCACGCCTGTAATCCTGGCACTTGGGAGACTGAGGATTGAGGCCAGCCTGGGATACGTGGGGAGCTCATACACAGCCGGAAGTACATAATGAGCCCCTGTCCCCAAAATAAATAAGTGAATAACAGAAGAGACCCCCAAACCTAAGCCTGGAGGCTGCCCCACCCCCTGCTGGGCACCACCACCATTATCTTGGGCCTGGCTCAACAAAGGAGCCGGCTCCCCGCCTCAGTCCAGGCCCCTAAGAACCCCCTGCAGCTTCCTCAGAACTACCTTCAAATCGTATATCGCCCCTGGAACCCCGTCACTTATGCAGATCCAAACCCCCCAAGCAGATTTGTGCACCTCAGCCTCCTGCCACCCCACTGGGAAGGGGCCCCATGTGCACAGGAAGGGCAGCCAGCCGCCTGACTGTCCTGGGAGCCCTCTCAGCCTAGTTTCTCGGCACCTCTGCAGGGTTGGGGGCTCCTAGAGGACCTGCCCGGCCCTGGCACTTCCTAAGGGGCCTTTGTCTGCCTAGAGGTTTAAGAATGACCCTCTCTGTGTCCCCACCCGGGCTGGATGCAGCTGTATCCTCTGTTCCCCACACTTCTGGGCACAGCAGCCTCAATAGTGCCTCCCTGGACTCCACGCCCAGGCTGGACTCAGTTTCCTGCTTTGCTCCCCCTGGCACTGGGCTAGGAGACCCGGGGTTATTGGGACAGGAAGGCCAACAGGCAGAGGTCCGAGCACCCAGCATTTCCTGGTGATTCAGGACCAGCCAGCAGGACTGGCACTGTCTCCCTGGGACGGCTGCCCTTACCCTGCTGGCTTCTCACCTGCCACTCCGTTGTGCCCTGGCCTCCTGCCAGAGGCTGCCCCGTCAGCACCAGCACCACCCCCTCAGCCCTGCTCACACTGCCTCCATCCCAGGCCTCCCTCCCTCTGCAGAGCCGACGCTCCTCGGTCAGTGCCACGCTGCAGTGCCAATCTCTCCCTTGCAGCTCGGGTGAACAATAGGCACACGCAGGGACTGAGGCATCTGGGCCAATCAGGGCACCTGAGGCTGGGCCCAGCTGGGTACCAGCTGCCCTCCCTTGGCACTGCCTGGTCCTCAGTGGTCAGAACCCGCTCTGGGCTCACAGGGCTCTCCAATGTGACACTCAGTCCCACTGTGCCCTGCCGGCCTACCTGCCTACCTGCCTGGGCTGCCAGCTCAGGCCAACACACAAGACGGCTCAGCCTCTGCCTTCGTGCCGACCTCCTTCCCTGCCTGCCCCACCGGCTCTCCTGCCTGACCCCATTCTCGGTGCAGGGACACTGGCTCTGACTCAGCCAGGCCTGGCTCCTCCTAGGACTCCTGCTCTGGCCGCCCTATTCCTGGGCACCTCTGCCACAGCTCTGCTTGCTCTGCTTTGCCTGCTCCTTCTGGGACCTCATGAATGAAACCAGTCTCTGTGCCTCAGTTTCCCCCATTGCAAAATGTGGCTAGGGCCCAGGAAGTGCAAAGGAGACCCATGTGCCCACTCTGTGGTGCAGAGCTCAGCCCCTCCCCCGTTTTGCTTTGTTTTTTGACAACTATGTACCTCTGGCTGCCGGTGACCTCTAGGTGATCTTCCCGCCTCAGCCTCCCTCCCTGGCACCAGGCCTCAGCCCCTTTTGTCCAGTCCCTCCCTGCATGGTCGGCCCAGCATGCACCCGCAGCCTGTGCCGGCCAGCTCACTTGGGGTAGAGGTTCTGCACCCAGAGCAGCAGCAGGTAGGCGTCACGCTCACATAGCTCGAACTGCGCCAGGGTGGCTGCGTGCGCTGCGAAGTGCTCGTGGTAGCTGCGTGCGTAGGTGCCCACAACATCAAACTCGGCCGGGAACAGCGGCCTCAGCCGCTCTGCCACAGCCTCCAGGTCCTCTTTCATGGTGCGGCCCATGTGCAGGAAGGCACCCTCCATCTCTGAGCGGCCCTCTGTGCCGGTGGCCGGCCGCACTCCCATGCGCTCAGCAGCCACCACAGCCACGGTGTGCCGCCACTGCTGCAGCCAGCATCGAGGACGTGTGGTTGCCAGTGTCGCCGCCCCAGGCCCGGCCTCAGCCGCCCGCCGGTCCTCGCGCTCCTGCTCGGCCACCACGGCCAGTGCCTGGTGCAGGCGCTCGGGCGCAGTGTCCAGTGGCCTCCGCAGCAGGCCCAACACCTGGTCACGCAGCAGCACGTACAGCGCCTCTACCTTGCTCTGCCGCCGCACCAGCTCCTCTTCATCCATGCCACCCGCCATCGCCATGGCCACTAACTCCTGCTCCAGCGCCAGCAGGAGTCCTGCAGCCTCCAGCCGTCCGGCCTCCAGTGCCGCCTTGAGCTCCTCCACTGGGCCAGAGACCAGTGTGAGGCAGCACCCTCGGCAAGGGGAGGCTGGGACCCCAGAAAGCGAGGTCCTGCCCCCCAAGGCTGGGGACACCCCGTCCCAGGAGGCCCTGCCCTGCCCAGGCCTGCACCCCCATGGCAACCCTAGCCCCGGCGCGCCCCGGCTACCTGTGGGCGGTGGGCTGTTCAGCCCTGGCCCGGGCTCGGGCTGCCCCGAGCTGGGTGAGCTCTTCTCCTTCTTCCTCTTCCTCCCTTTGAATATGCTGAACACGCTGGCCAGTCCCTTCGGCTTCTTCTTCTTTTCCTTCTCCTCCACAGCCTCTTCGCCCTCTGGCTCCGGGGCGACCCTGGCCTCCAGGGCTGGCACCAGGTCCTCAGAGGAGGCCTCAGACATGGAGGCCTCAGAGTCCACCTCTGAGGTGGAGGGCAACTTCTGGGGGTGTCCAAGGAAGTCGGGGGTCCTTGGCATGGGATGCTGGCCCAGGAGGCCTTGGAAGGTCATCATCTTCAGCATGGCCCTGGCTCGGGCCTGCAGGCTGCAGGGTGGGAAGAAGGGGTCAGCGGTGGCAGGGACCTGGCCCCCCTCCCGGGCACGGTCAAGCAGCAACAGCAGTGCACTCCTGTGTGACCTGGGCCAGGGCCTAGCCAGGCCTGGTCTCCTGAGCACCAACTCCACTCATCCCTGGCCGTAATGCCTCTGCCTCCAGCACCCCACAGTGGCTCCCAGAATTACCCCTGAAGAAAGAAGAGGCTGGGGACATCTGCCCTCCTGGACAGAGGGGACTGGGCCTTCCTTGCATCTCAGCAAGGAAAAGGGAGGGACAGGGACTGCCCCGATCCCAGCAGACCCTGAGAGGAGGCCAGGCACAAGCTGCTGTGCACTTATTTATTTTGGCTTTTTGAGACAAGGTCTCCCTATGCAGTAGGGCTGGCCTTGAACTCACTGTGCAGCCCAGACTAGTGTGGAACTCACAGGGATCCTCCTGCCTCAGCCTCCTGGATGCTAGGATTATAGGCATGCACCACCCTACCCAGCTTTGCTGTCCATTTAGACAATGCAAGGACAGAAGTCCAGAAAGGTCAGGACCACACCAGCTGCACAGAGCACCAGAAAGTTCTTATCTAGCTGTGGAATCTTGGAAAGATCCCCTTGGGCCCAGAGTCTGACCTGCTGGACAGGGCCCTGGCTCAGGTCTACAGAAGCCAGACCCTGTCAGTGAGGGATGGACCTCAGTGACGGCTCAGGAAGGCGCAGGGAGGCTGCCTGTGGTCACATAGTGAGGGCTGGGACCCAGGCTCCCCAGCTCCACCCCACCGCAAAATGGGTGACATCACCATCACAAAAGCCTGCATTGCTGTGCCTTTCCTGGGTGCCCATCCCTTCTCTTCCTCTCCCACCCAGAAGGGTTACTTAGGCTCAAAATATCCCTGTGGCTGACAGCCTGGGCCTGGAAGCCAGGTCAGCTGGGCCCTGAGCCTGGCTTTTCCTTGCCTCTGCATGCCCTGCTGCCCTGCAAGCAGCCTGGAGGAGGCAGGCTCCTCCCCACTGTCAGAGCAGGGCTGGGACTCCCAGAGGGGAGCAGGAGGCCCCCAAGAGAGGAAACGGGCTTGCGTGACCATAACCACGGTCAGTGCCAGCTACTTCCCCACCCTCAAGAACAAACACACCGAGCCGTACCTCAGCCGTGTCAGAGTGACTCTGAGGAACCTCTAACAGAGCTGGGAGGCAGGCAGGACCAGCCACAAAGCCGGAGGGAAAGTGAGGCTGAGGACAGGGTGCTTGCTTCCCAGGCGCAGCGGGAACTCAGGGTGAAAGACCCCGGAAGCGCCTTCCACCTCCACCTGCCCAGCTTCCCTGTCCCAGTCTCACACCCTGTGGCTTGGCCAGAGCCACCCGGGGCACAGGATGCCGAGCTCCTCCCAGCCCAGGCCCTGCCAGGGGTTCTCACCAGGGCCCCAAGACAGTGTCCCACACTCCTGGACCTCAGCTGCCTGCCGGGTGCTGGGTGGGCCACAGCTCCCCTCCAGGACCGGGAGGGGGTGTGCCGGCGAGCCCGAGCCCAGGCCTCCCAGCTAAGTGCACACCAAGCACCCACAGGAGGGGTCTGGCCTGTGGGTGCCCCACGCCGGGTGCCCGTGCCCACCAGCTGGCCCATCCTGCTCTCACTGCCCTGCCTCTCAGTAACCAGCACCCCGTTTTCAGTCCCCTGAGCTCCGCTGCCTTATCTGTTCTTCGGCCCCAAAGCTGCAGCAGCCCTGTCTCATTCCCATCTCCATCACCATCAGCTGGCACAGCAGTAAGAAAGGCACACACGGCACTGCCATAGCCTGCGTGAGGGTGAGTCCGGGGCCCTGTGCCAGCTCCAGCACAGCTCCGCGTGCCCGGAAGCCCTGGCCACGGCGGGGCCCACTGAGGCAGGAAGGGCCTGCTCAGGGGTACCCTGTGGCCCCGGCCTCGGCTCAACAGCGTCACCCCCTGCTCCCAAACCCCAGCACCGCCCCTTCCCGGGTCGGGGCTGAGGTCCACGCAGTGCCTCCACGGGCCCTCACTGGGGTGACAGGGACACCTGGCGACGACCTGAGTCCACCCCGGCACGCGGGAGGAGGGGTCACCTGGCCTGGTCGCACTGCCAGGCCGTCTCCGGGCCGGGATTTGCGGGGAGCTGCACATGGAGACCCCAGGGCCCTGGGTGTCCCGGCCGCCTTCCTCGGGAGGAGCCCTGCTCCCGGGTGGCCTCGGTTTCCCCCACAGAAGGACCGCCCGGGGACCGGGCCCTGGGAGGGTCGCCTTCGTCCCCTCGGTCCCGCCAGGCCCCTTCCTTGGGGGATCGGGCCGGGAATCGGGCCGGGGCGGCAGGGAGCGTCTCCCGGCGGCGGAGGTCACTTACTGCGTCTGGCCAGGCGGCTGCGGTCCGGCCCCGCTCGGAGCGGCCTGAAATAGCCGGGGCCCCGCCCACCAGCCCGCCCCGCCCCGCCCCGCCGCGCCCCGCCCCGGCCGCAACCGCGGAAAACCCGCAGCTGAGACGAGCTGAGCCGAGCCGGGCTTTGTCCGACGCGGCCCCCGATTGGCTGTCGGCTACTCCCGTCACGCATCCCGCAGTCCGCCCAGGGGCGCCCCCTCCCCGAGGCTTCCAAGCTGGGGACCCCCGTGGCCTCGGGGGCTTGCGCTTCTGCGCCCCTTGCGCGGGACGGGGCGCGCTCCGAGCGGTGAGGGGCGCCGGGGTCACTCGCGGAAGTGTTGGAGCGGCAGGAAGGCGGCTGAGACCCTGCCGGGTGCCCGCTAAGCCCTTTCCCTTTCTGGGTCCCCTCGAGCCAGGCTGGGCCCAAACACCCCTCCAGCGGCCCCCGCGCTCGGGCCCGAACCCTCTCGGCCGCTTCGCCCTGCCAGAGTGGTCTCTGCGGGTCCTACCCCTTTCTGTGCCTCAGTTTCCCGTCTAGTTTCTCAGGCCTCCGGAGCGGGAGGAGGGGTGGCCTGGGGCGCCCGAGTTCACAGAGGAGAATTCCTGCCCTCTGGAAAGGATCCTGTCATTCAGGAATTTCCCGCTGGCACCCGCTTCCTCTTCTACTTCTCCCCCGCCTTTGTTTGGCCCCTCTTGGCCCCCTCCCGGCCGGCCGCGAGGGCAGAGGCGGGGCTGAGTGGGGGCTGTGCTCAGGGGGTGGCCCCGGGACCGAGAACTTCCTCCTCCCCCGACCCCGGGGGTGGTGGCCAGGGGCCAGGTGTCAGTTTGGACATTCATCCCTTTGTCCCTGGGGGTTGGGGGGGACGGGCGAAGGAGGCTGGGGGTGGCTCTGTGCCTGAGGGCCCCCCAGGACGGCGGTTTTCAGATGAACCCCTGAGCGTGTCTTCAGGCTGGGGGTCCACTGCTCCCCAGGGCACAGATGGGGAAACCCGAGGGCCAGGCCCAGAAGGGCCAAAGAGAATTCAAGCAAGGCTCTGGCCCGTGGCCTCCGGGCTGGCTGCCAGGATGGGGAGCATTGTGCAACCCCACCAGCCCCACCCAGCACCCTCCATCCGCCCTCTCCTAATTCCAAACAGATGGGGAGTCTGCTGGGGCCGCTGGGCTCTGGGGGAGAGGGGTGGCCAGGTCCCAAAGACCCCACGTCCACGCTGAGCCCTGGTCAGTGTGGAGCTGGGGCTGGGCCACCAACCTTGTCCCCAGTGCCCCAGCAACTCACCCAGGCCAGCAGTCATGGTTGGAGGCGTGACGCGCTGTCCCCTGTGTGGCCTCGCCAGGGACTTCCCTCTCTGAGTGGGGCCGGAGGGTCACAGGGCCCGTGTGAAGCCCCCAGTGCACGGGAAATCTGAAAATGGAGCTGGATGGAGGGGAAGGTGGAGATGGTGGACAGGAGCAGGAGAACCCCTGGGCATGAGCTGTTTTGTCCCCCCTCCTGACGGTCCCCAAGAGGGAGCCAGTGGCCAGCCAAGAGCTCCACCAGCAGGAAGTCAGGCACCTGGCCACAGGACCAGCTGCCGCCCACTCCCACCCAGGGCTGGGCAGGAGCAGCTGGCAACACCCCTGGTCCAGCCTAGAGGCCCTGGAGGTCCCCTCCTTGCACAAGGCCTGAGACGCGTGGGCTCCCTTCTGCTCAAGCAGTGAGTGGTGACTGGTTTTCATCCCGGTGAAATAACAACAGCACTGGTTCACCCTGTAGCCATCATACCATCACCGATTTAATGTCAGTGGCCCTGAGTCACCTGCAGGACCCGAGCTCTGTCCCGTTACAGTCGCTTCTCCTCGCTCTCCCCCAGGCCCGCAGCCACCGGCCTTTGGATGGCGGTGTCAGCTCCCAGCAAGGGGAGAACAGACTTGTCCTTTCTCGTTGCAGCCAGAGTCGGAATGTCTTTCCCCTTACGTCTGCACTGCGTTTCCCTGCACGCGTGGACACGCTGCACCAGCCTTGCCCCCATAGACGCTTGGGCCGCTGACACCTTTTGGCCACTGTGAGCGGTTTTGCTATGACACGCATGTGGGAATCGCTGTTCACGGCCTTGCTTTCAATTCCTGGTGTGCACAGGTTCCGGGCTCTGTTTAGGTGCTTTGCATGGGAAAATCCTCTCCAGTGGGTGCTGTGTGACCATCCCTCCTCACAGAGGAGGAAACTGAGGCACAGATAGGTCCAGTCGGGTCCTGTTGGAGGTGGAGCTGTACTCTGCTTCTCCTCCGACTTGCTCTGCCTGAAACGCAGCTGGATGAACTTCAGTCAGGCACAAGGAAGAACTTAGCCCCGAGAATTTAAATGGAGAAAGAAGTACTGTTCTCTTCTTTTTTTCTTTTGGTACCAGGGATCAAACTCGGGACCTTGCGCTTGCGAAGCAGGTGCCCCACCACTGAGCTACATTCCCCACCCCCCTTTAATGGTATTGGATATTGATCTCGGGGCCTTTTCACTGAGGAACATCCTCAACCCTTTTTATTTATTTATTTTTATTTTGAGATATGGTCTTTCTAAGTTTCCCAAGCTGGAATCAACCTTCCAGACCTCCTGCTTCAGCCTCCTGAAATGCAGGGATTACAGGTGTGCATCACCATGCCTGACTTTTTTTTTTATTTATAAGTTTATTGGTACATTTTGGGTATACAGTATGAGGACATTCATCACTGGGAATTTGCACCTTTACATGATATATCTTGGTTCTTATTTTTTTCCCCACTTCCCTGCCCTCCCTTCAACCCCTCCACCCCTCCCTATTTACAAAGACTTTGTTTCTGTTTTTTCCTTTTCTCATATCTTTTCCTTTCCCCTACCCCTTCCACTTCCCCTTCCCCTTTGGCCCTTTTCTTCCTATTTCACATCATCTATTATACATTTTGGTCCTCATTTACTCACACCGGAGAAACTATTTGGTATTTACACGTGTGTGTCCTATTTATTTCACTTAAGAGTATCGCCTCAATGTGCATCCATTTAGCTATAAATGTCTCTAGTTTATCATTCTTTATGGCTGAGTAGGACTCCATTCTATAAAAAAACCCACATCTTTTTTTTTTTTTTTGGTACCGGGAATCAAACTCAGGTCCTTCTGCTTTCGAGGCAGGCGGCAGAACCACTGAGCTAAATCCCTGCCCCAATCCACGTCTTCTTTATTCAGTCACCAGTTGATAGGCTTTTGAACTGTTTCCAAGATTTACCTTTTACAAACTATGCCGCTATAAACATGAATGCCTGACTCTTTTTATATCTTTGGAAAAACTTTTCCAATCCTAGTTAACTCAGCAGGGCAGGAGGGGCCGGCCCAGCCCTGGCAGCCTGTCTGGCCAGCGATAACACAGGGCAGGGCAGGGTGTTCTTCCCTCCCCCACGTGTGGTCTGCTTTTCTGAGAAGGCAGCTGGAGGGAAGTTCTCCAAGGAGGGGAAGTTGAGAGAGAAGGGGCAGTGTCCAGGGGGCTCAGAGGTGCAGGGCCCAGGTGGGGGCCGGGCAGGTGCTGGGGGCTGAGAGTCGTGGCCTGGCTATAGCAGAAGGTGGCCCTGGACACAGAGGCGCTGGCTGCTGGCCCCGTGGGCAGGCCAGGGCACGCTAGGATGTCCCCATTGGCTCCTGGGGCGCACCCACTTCCCCCTGCGAGATGACTTGCATTTCCCGCTGCCCCAGCCTTGCTCTCTGGATGCCACTGTGTCTCCTTTTCCCTTCTCAGGCTTCTCCAGACCTGAGAACTTCCCTGGCCAGGGTCGCAGAGCCTCCGTCAGTGACAAGGAAACTGAGTCTCACAAGGAAGCGGACACAAGGGTTGAGGCTTTGAGGCCGAGCTCCCTGCTGCCCCCAGCCTTCCCAAGAGAGGAAGTGACTGGCCCAGGGTCATTCACTGCTGCTTGGGGCTTTGGCTGGAGTCTGCTGACCGCCCTGGGATCACAGGATGACCAGGACAGCTGACCAGGACACCCTCAGGATGCCCCTGCCTCTGGGGCACTTGCCAGAGGACATGTGACAGGCAGTGCTCCGCCCCTTCCTCCCAGAGGAAGCCTGGCCCAGGACTCCTCATGTTTGGCAGATGGGGAAACTGAGCCCTGAGGAGGCCTGGCTCTGAGCCTGGGTCCTTTCCCTCACTGAAGACGTCCATGTGGGAGAAGCGGGGCCCTGGACAGCAGGATCCGACCCCAGCTGCCTCTGAGGACCGAAGGGTGGGATGGCTGCCTGGAGGTGGCAGCTGGGAGGAGCCCCTGGGCGTGGGGCTTTCCTCCTATGGGTAATGGGCTGCACCCAAGGGTGCCCAGCCTGAGCCAGGGGCTCTCGGCAGTGATGCAAAATGCCAAGCATGTCCACCCCGTTGCTGGGGACAGGCAGGGGCAGCTGCACACAGGCTGTTCTCTGAGCTGGCATGATTTCCAGGAAGCAGCTGCAGCCCTGGCCCCGGCAGGGGCCTGTCATCAGCTGTCACATGGCAGGCGCTGTCCCAGGGAACTCCAAGAGGCTGGAAGAGGTGGGCAGGGAGGGAGCTGCCCCAAACCTTGGCATCTGTGGCTTGCAGCATCCTCAGGGCTCCTGGCACGGAGCTTATGCAACTGGTCTGTGCTGGATCTGCCTCCCCTGAGCCAGGCCTCCTGTCAAGGCAGCCTTTCTGTGTCCATCTCCCAGTTTTTCACAGGAAGACCGAGCCCAGAGAGGTACAGTGACTTCCCCAGGGCTGCACAGCTGGCCAGCCGCAGTGCTGGCTTCTAGCCCAGGGCCACTTGATGGGAGGCTGATCCTTCACTGCAGAACTGAAGCCCTGGGGAGCAGGGACCCAGAAACAGTGGATGCTGCCTCGACTCCCTCCTTTCCAAGCCCCTGCAGTTCCAGAGTTTGGGGATTCCACCAGACAAGAGCCAGATGATGGTTTTATCATCCCATCTCCTCACCCCAATCAATGCCTCCAGCACAATCAGAAATTCCACTTTCTGTGCCAGTTGCTTGGGGAAGTACCACTTTTTATGGGGGGTGAGAAGGGGACTTTTCACCTTAAAACTTTAATGTCCCTTTAAGCTTTTGATCTCTGTGAATTTATCATTAAACAGAACATTAAAGCTAAAAATGCACACAGCTAACAGGCCGTCCAGGAAGGAGGAAGGGCTTTTGCAGTGACGTTCAGGCCCCCAAGGAAGTCCTGGCAGAGGATCGGGCTGAGGTGGGCATGGCACAGTGCAGTCCCTTCAAGTGTTTCAGGACAGCGGGGGCACAGGCTCCCAGCACAGCTGTCCCAAGCAGCTTCCACGGGGCTGGCGGGAAGGCACGACAGTGGATGGTGGCCCTGCAGCAGCCCCTGTGGTGTGCTGGGTGCTAAAGGGGTTTTGTGTAGCAAAGGGAGGGAGACTGGGGATGGATGGTGGCTTTGAGGGCCTTGCAGCCTCCTGTCCCCACCCGGACCGTGGAGAGGGGCTCTGCAGGAGGCCCTGCTGGCCGCTGTGGGTGCTGCCCCCATGAACCGGCCTGCAGAGGCCTGGGGCCAGAGAGGAAAACACCAAGTCACCAGGCAAGGAAGGAAGGGGAGAGTCTGTGCGACACACTGACTGCCACCTGAGCATAGCCTTCCTGGCAGGACCCTGTGGACATCTCCCTCCCTACCGGCCACTCTCTCCGCATGGCGCACGCGGAGACTATGTCCCAGGGGAGACCTCCAGGTGTCCAGCTAGGGGGAGACCCACGAAGGCTGGGAGCCTCAGCCTCCTGCAGGCTGTTCTGGCGCAGCACCCACCAACAGGGCCGAGGCCTGAGCCCAGGGCCAGGAGGGCCAGGAGGTCTGGGGAGCCTGAGCTGGGTGGGTGCTGCAGTCCCTGCAAGCCAAGCTTACCGTCCTATGCAGCCCCAGGTTTGGCAGAGTGGGCCCTGCTCAAGGACCTCAAGGCCAGGGCCAGAAGCAAGCCCCAGTCAGGAAGAATCCAGGACGCCTTGGGGAGCCAGGGCAGGCCCTGAAGAGGGAGGAGCAGAGCGTCCCACAGTGGCGGGGTGGGGGAAAGGCTGGCGTCTGAGCTTGAGGGGCCAAGAGGATGTCGGGTCTGTCCTGCTCCGCGCACAGAGAGGCTGCGTAATGCCCTCATCCCAGCTAGCGAATGCTGTGCACATGTGCAGACCCACACTCGCGCACACATTCTTATCCAGACAGCTGGCCAGCCAGACCTTCCAGCCCTGTGCTTGGCCTAGATAATGACAGGGAAGGCAGCCGAGGCCCATGGCAAGCAGCCCTCAGCCCAGGACAGCCCAGCCACCTGCTGCCAGCCTTCCCACTGCACCCTCGGAGAAGCCGCCATCACCTCCTGCTCCCCAGGGTGCCTCAGGGAGCCAAGGCTGGTCCTCGGCCACTGTGGAGCTCCCGGAAGGCACAAGGTGCACGCTGACGCTCCTTGCAGGGAGGCACAGGTCCTGCCAGGAAACCCAACTTCCCGTCCCCGGGTCTAGAAACCCTCAGGAAGACAGTCCTGAGGCTGTAGGCGGGTCCAGGTCGCCATCCCTCCCTACCTTGCCCCCCCAGTGCTTCCGCCCACGAGAGCTTGCACACAAGCAGGGTCCCAATCCCTGCATCCAGAGCCTTTGTGACCATTCCTTGCAGACCGTGGCCAGGAAGACGCTGGGGACACTGGGTGTTGGGGCGGCCAGGGGCTGGCTTCGTGGCTGGGAGGTGCTGATAGCACCCACTTCACAGCTAGAAGACTGGGGCACAGCAAGGTAAAGGAGCTTGCCTACAGTGTCACTGTGTCACACAGGGAGGTAACAGCGGCAAGGCCCAGCCCTCCTGCACCCTCCCAGCCTGCCTGGGCAGCCCAGCCCCAGAACCTTCAGCTTCCCCACCTGGGCCTGGGCAGGTCCAGGCTGGCCAGGGGCAGGCCAGGGACGCAGGAGTTCGGGGCGGGACTGGGACTCCGCCTCCCTGGAGAGAACTGGCTGGGACCAGGCAGATGAGCCTCCCCCAGCCCCACCTGCCCCTGCTGGCAACTCCCACTGGGACACCAGTGGCCCTCGGGAACAGTGGTGTCAGGCAGGCAGGGATGGTCAGTGAGTCCCCTGCTCCCCCCTCAGACCCCTCCACTATGGTCAGACAGGCCCTTCTCAGCCCGAACCCCAGTTATGGCAGCCTCAGTTTCTCCCTGGGCACAAGGACTGCCTGTCAGCACCAGTACTCACACTCCCTGCCTCACCCCCAGCTCTGCCTGGAGCCTGGGAACTCCAATTTCTCCACTTCCTTCTTCCTGCCCCACCCCGTCCGCCCTGCCCAAGGAGAGCTGGATATTCCCCTGCCAAGGCCCTGGCCTCTAGCCCTGGTGCAACCGCTGTCAGGGAGGGCACTGCCCTGGCACCTGGTACCCGAGGGGACAAAGTACCCCAGGCACTTGCCTGCTTGCCTGGGGGCTCAGCAGACTCAGACTTGGCCCTGTGTTGCAGCCCAGGTGCGGGGAGAGGTGGTCTGGCCACCGCCCCCCCCCCACTGTCCACAGGGCATGGACAGAGCGGGGGCCTGGGAGAGGTGTGTCCCCCACTCACCTTGCAGGGTGGCCTTTGAGACCCTGTGCTCCAGAGATGAAAGTTCACCCAGTGCTTGGGACCTTGGCCACCTGCAGCTACCTGGCCTACCCCAGGAGGGTCAGGGCCAGGCTCAGAGAGGAGGTGAGGCCTGCTTCTCAGCACCACCTTGGGCTTCTCGCAAGCCATGGCAATTAGATTCCCCAGTAGCCTCGCCCTCTGGCCCAAGCCCCACTTCAGGCAGAAGGCGGTTGCAGGTGCACACCCGAGCTGAGGGTCACCACCCGATGCGGGAATTCAAAGCCGAGCACTGCTGGGAAGTCCCTCCTCTGCAACCCAAACACCTCAAGCTGCAGGACAAGCCTGGGCTCTTTCTGTCCCCCAGGCCTGGGCTGCCTGGGATGGGGCTGAGCAATGTGGACCCCGGGCCCCAGGACAGAAGCCGGTTCTGCAGCTGCAGGCAGGGCCTCCCCAGCTCATGCCCACCCCCGCCTCCCACCAGTGCAGTGGGTGGCAGAGACCCCCTCACTGGCCAGCTTGGCCTGGGCCTCCATAGGAAGGCACCAGTTTAATTGACATTTATTTGTAGAATACTCTGTCCTGCACTCTCACCCGGGGGTGGTGGAGACTTTGAAGCGAGAGGCCTTCCCCGGCAGGCAGAATGGAGGGGACCGGGACCGGCTGCCCCAAACTCCCCCACAAATGCCTCAGATGCCTCCATCCTTCTCCGGGCTGAACAGCAAGAGTGGCTGAGGAGGAATATTCCATGACGACTCCGGGCTGCAGAGTCCACTGACTTCCCGGCTCCTAGCCTGGGGGAGGGCAAGGGGGCACCCCCGCCCCAGCCCTCTCAGTCCAGAGCACTAGATGCAGGTGATCAGCACATCCACAGAGACGGGCACCGGGATCTCCTCAAAGAGCACGTGCTTGCGGGCAGGCCTCAGGCCCCCAGGCCCTGCCCCAGCTGCAGCCCTCAGCAGGTTTTGCGAGTGCTGCAGCAGGCGGTGGTTCCGACGGCGGCCCAGTCTGCGCAGAGCCAGGATGGCCAGCACATGGTCGCGCCTGCAGAGAGGAGATGGGCACACTGCAGAGCACTCCCCAACACCCCAGCTCCTGGATGCCGGGAACCGGGCTTGGGAGGAAGTGTGAGTCATGCAGCATTCCAGGAGCCCAGTGAGGCCGGATCACCTGGGCCAGGAGGAGGCTCCAGCGGAGGCAGTGTAGACCCTGCACTGTGTGGGAGCATAGTGGGTGGCTCGAAGGCCCAGGCCACACAGGGACCCAGGGAGTCCTGGGGCAGGGTTGCACCAGGCTGGAGAACCCCGGGGATGGCTCTGATCCACACTTGGGAGACCGCTGGCCCCCTGAGGCTGGGGCAGGGAACTCTCCCTGAGGGTGGCAGGCCCGGGAAGGGGCTGGATCAGGGGCTTTCTGTGGCCTCCCCATCCTGGAATGTCCAAGCCTGGGGAGGACTGAACCGGGATTTCCAAGGGCCTTGATGATTCACAGTGGCCCTCCCACCCCGGGATCAAAACCTCCGAATGGGGTGGGTTCACACCTGCCCCTCGGATTCCAGAGAGTGTGTACCCTCCACCCCAGGGCTGATGAAGAACGGTCCAGAATACTCGTGAGTGGAGGGGCACCCTGCCCAGCCTGAGCTCCAAGGTTGCCTCACACCCACAGGTGCATGCAGGGCTTGAGCCCCATCTGACCCCACCAACCCACCCATCCCTCTCTGTCTCCCTCTGCCCACACCCCCAGGTTGCTTCCAGGCTCTCTGTGGGGGCGCTGGTGGGCTACGCACCTGATGTCGGGGAAGCCCTGGATGAGTGTCTCCAGGTGACGCCGGATGTCATCTTTGTATGTCTCGCCCAAGATCTCAGCCACGCACGGTATGGCCTGGTTCAGCCACGTGGCTTCAGAGCCCTGCAGAGACCGGGAGGCTCGAGGGTGCAGATTCAGCACCTCGGGGAACCCCCAGGTGCAGCATCAGTGTCCTCCATCCTGTGTGTGTGCAGATGGGACAGCCTGGCCCGACCTGGCAGTTCTGCCTGGAATCACACTGAGTGGAGCCAGCAGCCCAGTAAGGGCTGGGTGCGAGGGGCCTCCAGATGGGGCTGCATCACCCTGTCTTCCCCGAGAGCCCCAGGCTGTATGCAAGTGCGGCCTCCACCCAGCTGGCCCCCATAGGCCTGAGCCCTGGCCCCGCCATCTTGGCAGAGAGGGGCCAGAACTAGGGCACAGTGACTGCCCCCATGGAACAGCTTTCTCTCCGGGAGGAGCAGAACAGAACCGGGCACCAATCCAGGGTGGAAGCGAGGGCTCCTGGGGCAGATGCTGCTCCTACCAAGTCCTGGAATGTTTCACTGATGGCCTGGGCATCCTCGCTCATCTTCTGGGAGCCACGCACGCGCTCCTCGCCCCGGAAGCGCTTGTGCGGCCTCAGCACCTGAGCCAGGTACTCTCGGACCACAAAGCGGTGCGCCTCCTGCAGCACCTCCTGGAGGGCAGGGCAGGGTCAGGGCTGGGGTCAAGGACTAGGTCCTGGACACACTGGCCCAGAACCCTTCCCTGCCTTACCTGGGCCACTGGAGGGGCCACATGTGTGAGGTGGCGTGCAAAGGCCTTCACCTTGTCCATGAGGGGACACAGCATGTCCTGAGTCAGCCAGCTCTTGATGCACACGACCCTGAAGAGGGGCTGGGTGGGGTGTAGGGGTGAGACAGGTGCACCTTCCTGTCCCATGCTGGGGTCCCTGGTGCCGTCCCCTCCTAGCCAGGCACCACTATGTGCTCTGGGGATGCGTGGGGGGCTGGTGAGGGGCCTTGGGTCCTGGTGGTGGGATCGCAATGGAAAGGCAGGCACTTCCCAAATGTCCCTGCTTAGCTGGGACATCCGGGTCCCCTCCCACCCTCTGACACACATGCCCCGAAATGGCCCTGGGACCTGGGCTTCAGGGCATAGAAGGCACCTGCTGGGCACAGGAAGTGGGGGAAGATGATCTCTCCCACGCACCTGCACATCACTCTGCAAGCCCTGGAGCAAGTGCTTCTGGAAGTTGTGGATAGCCGCCACCAGGGGCTTCTCCAACTCCTCCAGGGTTCCCGGGAACCTGTCCAGAAGACTGGTCCTGGGGAAGGGCCAGAGCAAGTGGGCACAAGATCACAAGTGATTGGGGGCACAAGAGAGCAAGCTGGGGAGCAAGGTGCAGCACACAGCCTTGGAGCCTGGGCACTGCAGCAGCTCCACTCATTTATACTATAATGTGAAGGGCAGCCCCTGGAGCTGCACAGTGCAGTACCCCTGAGAACAGAGTCAAATGAGGGAACACCACCAACGCCCTGGGAGAGTCACAGAGGGTAGGTCAGCAGGGCGGTGGCACCCCGCTCTGGCAGTTTCTCTCCAGCAGCTCTGGGACAAACCCCCATCCCTCTTGATGGCAATGCAGCATGGCCATATCTGCACAGAACCTCCTGTGGTTCTGCCTCTGCCCTCTAAGGTGACAGCACCCCCATTTCGCTGTCGAGGGAACTGAAGCCAGGCTGGGGACACAGTGTGGCATACAGAGGACCTGCCACTGCCCCCTCAGTCTCCGGCACAGTGGAGCAAGGTGCTTGGGAGTCAGGCACTTGGTGGGTGCATGGCGGGGGGCCAAGCGTCATTTCCACCCTCGCCTCCACTATCCCACAGGTACAGGCACAGGGTCTGGGGAGAAATGCCTCTGGGGCAAGCATCAGCACTGAGCCGGGCACCTCCAGGGGCCCACACAGACCCCACAGGGACCGGTCCTCCCAGGCTGAGACTCAGCCCTAGGGCCCAGGGGCAGAGGCTCTGGTCCCGGTGTTAGAAGAGCAAAGAGGGACACAGACAGCGACTCATCCCAGGCACACAGCTGGCACCTGGCAGTGCTGGATCTGAGCCCAGACAGGGCAGCCGAGAGTCTGTGCTCCTTCAACAGCTGGCACATCTGCAGGAGACACTGACTGCTCCGGCAGCGGCCAGCACCACCCATGCTGGGGTGTCAGGGAGGCCTCCACCCAGGAGAGGAAGAAGCTGGACTGGGAGGAAGGGAGGAAAGAGACCACACCCAGGGATGAGGGCACGGCCCCCCTCGGCCTGTGACGGCCGGACAGGGGCTCTGCTGGGCCAAGGAAAGTCGCTGTGGCAGGAGTAGGAGGGAGGGCACGGTCCCTGCAGGTGTCCAGAAGCTCCACGCTAGGGGAGGGACCAGCCCCTTGTCACCCGGGTTCAGGCTTCTCTCTCCATCACGCACGGAACCGGGCCCCTCTGCCCATCGCGCGCAGGCACACGCGCGCATGCACACACGCACACTCTCTCTCTCTCTCTCTCTCTCTCTCTCTCTCTCTCTCTCTCTCTCTCTCACACACACACACACACACACACACACACGCACGCACTTCGCCTCTCCCTGGGTTTCAGGGGCTCGCACGCCCCCTGCTGGCGGCGCAGCCACAGGCTCAGGACCCACCTGAGCTCCTCGCAGGCGTTGATGTAGGCGCCCAAGTGCTGCTCGCTCGCCGCCCCCGACTCCAGCAAAGCCTTCTCAAACCTGGGCAGCGCACTCAGAGAGCTCAGTCTGCGCTCCCTGGGAGCCCTGGGTGGGGCGCACACTACCCACCCCCACCGCCCTCGGCCCCACACCCACCGGCCCGGGGACGCTCACGCACCTGGGCACAAAGAGGCGGAGCGCGCGCCCGCAGATCCGCAGGGTGGTGGCTTCGAGCTCGGCAGAAATGGCGCTGGCCGCCTTCACGTGCTCCGCCACCAGCTGGGGACGACGCGCAGCTGAGCGCGGTGGGCTCGCGGCCGGGGCCCAGTCTGCCACCCGGCGGCCGGTGACACCTCCAGCCCACCCCGCTCTAACTGGTCTTGGCTCTAGCTTTCAACGCCCCAACCTGAGCGTTACCTCCCCCCACCCGGGTCCACCAGCCTTGCCAGGTCCCCGGCCCCCCTGGGCTCCCAGCTCCTGGGAGGGGCCGCAAGAGTGGATGTGGGTCCCCCGCGCACCATGTGGATGTCCGTGGACAGCGGCGCGCGGTAGCGGCCCTGCAGCACCTCGGGGGCCTCGGCCGCTGCCCAGCGGCTCTGCTCCAGCTGCAGGATGCGTTCGAAGCAGCTCCAGATCTTGCTCTGGGGGCGGGGCGGACGGGGTGAGGGGTGCTTCGGACGAGGAGGAGCCCGGCCCAGCCCCAGCCCCGGGAGCCGGCCTACCTCCAGGAAGTGGGTGTAGTCGCTCTCCAGCTGCGCCCACACGTCGGGCGCCAGGAGCGGAGGCAGCGGCTCCGCGGGCAGAGCCAGGTCCGGGGCATCCAGAAAGTCAGGGCTGGAGGCGAGGAGGGCGGGTTGCTGAGGGGCGGGTGGGGCTGGGCTACAGCCACGCGCTACCCCAAGTCTAAAGCTCAGGGCGCTGGTCACACTCCGCTCGGCCTCCAGGGGTCGGGCCGGCACCTCCCTCCCGGAAGCGTCTGAGCACTAGCTCAGAATGCTTAAGGAGCGGTCGAGAGGGCCCCGCCAGGGTGCCTCGGGTGAGCTCCACCCGCGTGCTCGGCGAGCACCCGGGGCTGCCCCCGCCCAGCCTGCTGGTGTTCGGAACCCAGGACCTCGACCCACGCCTGCCTATGGGACCCGGGAGTTCATCCCGGAGGGCTCGGCCTCCGTCAGGGTCACGCAGCACGGAGCGGAAGAGCGCGCCGTGGGGGAGGCGCGCCCGCAGGTGTCCTGCCCTGAGGGGCCCTTCCTAACGCAGGCGCGGGCACCTGTGCACGGCAGGAGCCGCTCACTGCTCTGCGGGGCACCTGCGCAGGTGGCCCTTGGGCAGGCACACCTGGGGTGGGAACACGAGTAGCCTGACAGGAAGGGAGGCGTGGCGGTCCGTCTTCGGCGCCTGGCAGCGCCAGCGAGGGGCTGGAGCTCAAAGCTGCGCAGCGCCCCGGGAGCGAGCTCCGAGGGCCCCTGCTCGGCCTGGGCCCGCGCCTCACCTGCCGTAGATGTTGGCGGCCCAGTCCAGCAGGAGGTACAGCTGTTCACAGCCGCGGGCGCCGGGCGCAAGCTCCTGCAGGCGCTGGGCCACAGCACCGTGGAAGGCGCGCAGGTAGGTCTCCCACGCGGGGAGGCCGACGGCCGCGTACGCGGGCTGCACCTCCAGGTGCACCTTCTGCAGGTCGCCGCGAACCAGGCCACCGAGCTCGGCCAGAAGCTGGGCCAGGCCGGGCGCGCCCTCCGCGGCCTCAGCGGTGGCGCCCACCGCCCGCACGCGATCCTGCGCGCTCCGCCGCACCGCGTCTTCCCAGTGCTGGCGCCAGTGGCGCGGGGTGCGCAGAAAGTCGCCGTCGGCGGGCGGCGCCGGGTGGGCCTCCTCCTCCGCGCGCACTACGAGCGCCAGCTCGGTCAGCGTCGCCGCGGGCACGCCCTCGGGGCTCAGGGTCTCGCGCACGATGGCGCCCAGCTCGGCCGCCAGCCCATCGTAAAGCAAGCACACGTCCATGGCGCGCCGCGCGTAGGCCGTGGGGTCCTGCGCAAAGGTGTGGGAGGTCTTCTCCGCCACCAGCCGCGTCTCCTGGTGTCGCAGCTGCTTGAACGCCGCCACCAGCTGCCTCTCAGTGATGAGGTCGGCCACGGATTTGCTTTCTGCGAGGGCAGTGAGAAGCGGGGTGATGAGAGGATCTGGGCCCGGCCCGGATGCCCTGCGTCCCGTCCCGTGGAAAGCCTCAGACCCTGCTGGGAAGAGCCCCTTGGTGCAGCTCCTCCCTCCCCGCCCACAGCCCCTACCCCCTCGCTCCACCCCTGCTGAGCTCTGTGGGTGTGGGTGTGCGTGGGGGGGGGGCTCCTGGGCATCCCCAATTGCAGGTCTAATAGGGTCAGAGCTCAGGCCGCGTGTCCCACTGTCCGGGGTCAACGTTTCCCGCTGCTCTGCTCTCTGCCACTTCCTTACCCCAGGCCCTCAACTTCTACAGTGGTGGAGATATAGGTTCAAATCCCAGCTCGAGACTCAGGAGTCAGCCTCGCGGAGCTTCACTCTCTCATGGGCCGGGGTCCCTTGCTAAGATGGTGTAAGAACTTGAAGTTCGATTGTACAGGAAAGCAGTGTGGGTGTGGGAGAGTTGGGAAGCCCAGGCTCAGCTGCTGCCCCCTCAGCCTCAGTCCGCCCTCGCTCAGTGTAGTCATGGAGCCCTAACCTGCCTCCCGCTGCGGCTCCTCAGGCCCCACCCCGGATGCTGCCTGCTGGCTGGTACCGCCCGTGACCACAGAGGGCTCCTTTGGCACAGTGGCAACCTGGGACTGGGCCGAAGCCGGGCCTTGCCCCACAGCTCGCCGGAACGACTGGAGCAGGGAGCCCCGGGAGCTTCGCTGGAGCCGGCCCGGGTCCTCCTTGGGCCGCTGGCTGGAGCCCCGAGGGCTTGCCCAGGATAAGGCCCGGCGAAAGGTGCCCAGGCCCAGCCTGGTGGAGTCCACGTGGTGGGCCTTGGGCTCCACCCCACTGTTCGCCCCCAAAGTGCCCCAGGCTGGTGTCGCTGGCCCTCCAGGCTCCTGGGGGCTTCGCAGCTCAGTTCCAGGGGTCACCTTCCGTGGGGACAGCATCTCAGCAACAGGAGGCCTGGGGACGAGAAGGGGGCTCAAAAAGCCGGGAGGGCACCCTGGTGCCACCCAGCAACGAGGTCCCGTTGGGCTTGGCCAGACCCAGCTGGTCAGGGACGGCGTCCTGGCAGGGGCAGCATCCCTGAGCCGTCAGGAAGGAAGCACCTGAGGCCCATGCCCGGCTGCGGGTAGGATGTGGGTCCTTCTCCCACCAGGGAGCCTGCGCTGACAACACCCTCAGGCAGGGTCTCCCCAGGTGCCTCCATTATCCAGTCTGCCAGGCCCAACTTCCCATCAGAACTGGGGCGAGAAGCTGCAGTGGCTCCTGGGGCCCAGCCTACCCACAGCCCGCAGGAGGGCAGGGCTGTGACCACATCCCGGCCGCCTCAGTCCTAAAACGCCCCCAGCCCTCCCTCCAGAAGCCCCTTCCTGGCCTTTTGGAACTCCCGGCTCACCCCTACCCCCAAAGCAGGAGCGGAACCCACCCCTGCCCTGCTGTCAGGGAGCCAGAGGCCAAGGCCACCCTGCTCTTGCCCAGGGGAAGGCGGTGGGAGGAGCCTCGGTCTATATTTAGCTGGGGCTGGGGGCTTCCGTGTTGTTCTCCCTCTGCACCTCCCCCTTGCTCCCCAGGCCTCCACAGCGCAGAGTGGGACCAGGCACCCAAGGCTGTGGGGGCCCCCAGAGCCTGGCTGTTTGCTCTTCTGGCTTTTGCTGATGTGGGGCAGGAAGGAGGAGGGGGACTTCCGGGGTCAGGATGGGGCTGGGCATTGCCTAGCAAGGTCACACTTCACTCTCGGAGAACTGAGGCCCCGAGAAAGGCCCAGCCCGCTGCCACCACAGACCGAGCTGAAGCAGAGCCCTCAGCCCCTCTCCCGGCTCCCTGCCACCCCCACAAAGCCCAGGCTGCAGCGGCATCAGACCCGGGGGACGTGGGGCAGGAGCCGCCCCTCCCGGGTCTCAGTTCCCAGTGCACATCAGGGCCCCGACCCTCACCCACACCCCGAATGGCGTCTGGGGCACTGGGCCTACCCCCCTCAGGCTCCGGAGGCCCCAGGCAGCTGGAAGGAGCCCCAGGCAAGGGAGCCGGCCCAGGTGATTGATGGGGCCTTATCCGCCCCACCCCGGCCACAGGTCACCATCCTCCCCCGAGCCAGGGTTCAGGGACCCTGCCCTGCTCAGACCTGACCCCCATGCGGCAGGGACTGCCCTCACGGCCTCCCTGGCCTCCGTCCCGGCTCCCTCGGTGCCTGGCACAGGGGTGGTGCCTGGACAGAAAGTACCATAAGGGACAGTTCCGGCCAGGCTGCCCCTGCCCTGCCCCTGGGTGGCTCTGGCTCCCTGTCACCAGCTGTTGTGGTGAAGGAGGACGTGGGCCTGTGGTTGGGCATAGGAAATACAGATGGAGACAACAGAAGCCATAGCTAAGGCTGCAACTTCGAGATGCAGCCAGGGTCACCCAAGGGATCCATTTCAGATCCCCTGGGTTAACGGATGCTCTTTCCTTTCAAAGCCTTCAGATTCCATATTCCTTAAGGACACTGCGAGTCCATAAATTGGCTTGGCTGAGAAGGTGAAAAGCAGGAACCTGATCTTAAGGTAAAGAAACAGCAGTCAAAGAATGCTTACCCATCTAAAAAAGAAAAACAGAGCTGGGGATTTGGCTCAGTGGTTCCACCACCTGCCTCACAAGCACAAGGTCCCAAGTTCTATCCCTGGTGCCAAAAAAAAGAGAAAAACAGCTCCTGTCTGTAAAGCAGTCCACTGTCCTTCCAGATTACGTGATGGCTTCACCACCCACCCCAGGAAACTGCACTTCTCTCTCCTGGGGGCTCACTCTCTTTGAGTGTGCACTTTAAAATTTCTTCTTAGAGCCAGGCGTAGGGGCACACACCTGTAATCCTAGCACTTGGGAGGCTGAGGCAGGATTACCTTGAGTTTAAGGCCAGCCTGGGGTGCAGACTGAGTTCAAGACCAGCCTGACGGACACTCAAAAATACAAAACAAAACAATTCTGCCTAATAAATCCCTTATGTCTCTTACTGAGGCGTCCTGCAGCCTCTGTCTGTGGGGAAGTCAGTGAACTGCGGTTTATCCCGAGCACAGAGTGAAGTTGGGCTCCTCTCACTTTGAGAACCTCCTAGGACCCTGTCTGGTGACAGGCCTGACTTGCTGGCATGGCAAGGAGGTCACACTTAGTAAGCACCTGCGTATGTCCTGCCCAGCACCTGACACAGCCAGGCCCCCAAGACTCAGCGCTAGGGGTGTCATTTTTCCTGCCTCATAGGGAAGCTAATGCAGAAGGGGCCGGGTCCTGCCTCAGTCCACCCAGCTCAGCGGTGGGGAGCTGGATGGAGCCAGGGCTCAGGGCTGCTGCCAGGGGCTCCTGGCCCCAAAGAAGACCCACAGTGGGGAGCGGGGCTCAGAAGGGTCCGTCCACCTGTGGTCCTCTCCTAGACTGCAGCCACCCTGCCTTGACCCTGCAGCTGCCAACAGCTTCCTTCCCCTGCTCCAAACCCTTCCGTGGCTCCCCTGCTGCCGGCGAGCCCCAAGCCTGGCATTCAGAGCCTGCTTCCTGGACTGACCTTCCTCCAGCTTTCCACCTTAGGGTGGTCTGCACCCCTCCAGCCCCACGGGCCCCCCTGTCTGCACGTCCTACCCCCCACCTCCCTCCAGGTCCCCCCCACCTCCATTGGTCCGCTCCCCACATCCGACCTGGGCTGCAGGGTGCAGGGGTATCCACACCTCCACGGAGTCCTCAGTGTTCTGCCAGGGGTCCAGAGCCGTCCCTGCAGGGGCCTGGCCTCCTCCCTGGCCTGGAGCCTCGCCACCCCAGAGCACCAGCGAGGATCAGCACGCTGTACCCCATGAGGGACGCCCTGTTATCCCCAGGCTGGCCACTTGCAGAGCTGGCACCATGGCCTTCGCTGTGAGTCCCCAGCCGGGCCTCTCCCCTCTGCCTGCCCATGTTCCTCTCGGGCCTCTCTCTGGCTCCTTCTGTCCCCTCTCCTGGTAGCCTCGGGTCCCTAGTGGGGCTCAGCAGTGCTGAGCCCATGGTCCTGCACACCCTGGCGGCTGAGCCCTGGACCCTGGCCTGCTCTGTCCAGGCTGGGCCAGTACAGCCCTGCAGGGCCAGCTGCGGCTGGGAGTGTCACACAGAAGACCCCGTCATTGGAAACTTCCATCCTGGGCACCCGGGCCCAGAGCAAGAAGTAAGGTCTGGGCATCACCCTGCCTCCCGCCCCAGCCCGCTTCGGCCCTGCTGTCCCAGCCCACTGTCCAAGGATCCGTCCTCTTCCCAGGCCTCCTGGGTGCTCCCTGCACCCCCAGCCTGAGACTGGCCCAGTGCCCCCCTCAGAAGTAGCCCGGGGTGTGGCTGACTGTGAAGGCCTTGGGTTTGATCCGTCAGAGTAGCCACTGCCACTGCAGGCAGCCGAGTGGCTGTGCCCGGGCCATGGCCCCTCCGACCTCCCCACAGCCCCCCACCCCCTGCTCGCACCCCCCTAACCGCTCGCCTTCCATCTTGGACGTGTCTCCCGGAGCCGTCAGGAGGCTGCTGGACCCTGAGGCTACCCTGCATACGAGCGAGACAGCGTCTCCTAAAGCAAGGAAAGGATAAGGGCACGTGTCTCACTGCCACTCTTCAGCGTTTGGCTGGAAGAATTACCGCAATCAATAGGCAAGAGGCGCAAGAGCGCCCCCTCCTCGGTGCCACAAGGCCTATGCGCCCCCTGGCTGCTACCTCCAGAAGTGCAGCCGCCTCCTTTCCTGGCCGTTCCAGACCCCTAGGGCTTCATCTTCACCCCTTCACACCCAGCACGGAGAAGCACTCACCTCGCCTGTGCAGCAAAGCACAGGCTGCTGTCCTGGCCCACAGCGACCTCAGCCTCACCTCGTCCAGCTGCCACCTCCCTCCAGGCGCAGCAGAAGTGGCTCCTCCTCCCAGAACTCAGTCCACACCTGTTCTGGCCTCAGTCCCTGCCCAGGGCGCCTTCTCCCATGACTGAGGGATAATTACAGGGCCTGGTGTCCCCGAGCAGGGAGTGGGCTGACCCGGCCTGGGCCGGCCAGCGGGTGACAGGCGCGGAGGACGGCATCCTGGGGGATCTAAGGCTGAGCGTGTGCCCATATCCCAGGTGCCCCAGTGCCCCTGGGCGCGGTCATCCTAGGGGGCCACAGCCAGAGCTGGAACAGTGCCAGTCCCCGAATCCCTGCCCGCTGTCCCCGCACCCTGTGCCCTCATACCTGCTGGGTGAGCGGACCCAGCCCTGGCGCAGGGTGCCCGCAGAAGCCAGGCGAACGGGGCCCTGAGAACTGGGCTGGGCATGGGAGCTCCGAGGAGTCAGGGCCAGGCTGCTGCCCAGGCTGGTGGCGGACAGCTGGGACTTCCCGGCCGCCAGGCCCCGCCCCGCCCCGCCCCCAGACCTTTCCCTTTCAGAGAATTCCCCACCCCTCCCCCAGCCTGGACCCAGCCAAACTTTGATCCGGGCAGCACAGCACAGGGTCATGGGCCAGGGTTCAGAGGGATGGAGGACAGCTCTGAGGACTGGCAGTGGGGTGACAGGTCTACCAGCCCCTTCTGCGGTCAGGGCAGAGGGTCTCTCTCCAGGGAAGGGCATGGACTCGCCTGTCCACCAAGCTCACCCCAAAGCCCCTGCGCCCACTGAGACGCAGGTCCTAGGTGAAGGGCGATCCCAGGGATAGCCTGGGTGCAGCTGGGAGCCACACACTGCTCCTGAGCCGGAAGAGGGGACACACGGTGACTCAGGAGTGACTTCAGCCGTAGAGGGCCAAGCCTGAGTCCGCCAAGCTGGGAATGCGGGCAGCAGGTCAGATTCGAGCAGCCCCAGCCTTCCTGGGGGCATTCCACTGTGAGCGTCTGGAAAGGAACCCGGGAAAATCTGCAGGGGCAGATCCAGGCCTGTCCGCCCAGGAGAGCCAGCTGAGCACAGCAGGGAGGAGCTGGACTGCGTCTTCAGCTCAAGGCCCTGAGCTGGACGCTGCATCCGGGGCCGGGACTCTGGCGCCTCTCCTCCACCCGAGGGCGGCCACCTCCTTGGCGGGCGTGGGTGTCCTTACGCCCAGCTCCACCTCTGTCCCGGGGAAGGTCGACCCTGACAGCCTCATTTTAACTTAGGATCCCTTAAAGACCCTAGCTCCTGAGGTCTGGGGTTCAGACGTGGGCACAAGGATGGGGGCCAGCAGCATTCAGCCCCTGTAGACTGGAAGATATCCAGACACTGTGGGCCCCAGGCCATCAGACTCAGGGAGCCCGGCACCTCTCCAGGCAGCCCTCAGCTGCCCACCTGAGGGGCCAGCCCCTCTGTGGGCTCCCTGAGTGTGTGTGTGTGTGTGTGTGTGCGACCCTGGCCAGGCCTCTCCGCCAGCTCCTCCAGCCACCCCACTGGCCTCCCATCCCTTGTGTCTCCAACAGCTGTGACCGGGATACAGGCAGTCACAACTAGAGGGGACTTTCCAGTGACCTCCCCGGGGCACCCAGCTACCTCCGGGCCCTGGGACCTCCTGTCAGGTCTCCTCCATCCAAGTCATGTCTGAGCAGCCTGAGGTGCCCGGGGTGGGGGTGGGCTGCTCCCTGAGCGCCCCCAAACTCCCGGAAGCACCCCAAGTCTGCTCAAGCCATGCTTCTTTTATTCTATTTCCCCCCAACTTTCTCAGTAAAATCCCTGTGAAAAACTCCAGGCCTCCGCTCGGGAGCCAGGCACAGGCCGACCTGGGGTCAAAAGGGAGAGCAGGGACCACTGAGAGAGACAGCGCTGCCCGGGCCTCAGTTTACCCCTCTGTAAAATAGGGGTGTCGTTGGGATTAAGTGGGTTCATGTCGCTGAGCACTGCACCTGCTCCCAGGTAGGAAAGTGCAGCGAGAAGCCGCCCAGGTGCCTGCGGTCCTCGGCGCTTGTGGATGACACCTGGAAGCAGACGGTCGGCGGAGGTGGGCATCCCACCGCACTGCAGCCGGTCCGCGGTGCAGAATGGCGGCCCGAGCCCCCTGTGCCCTCCGGGCTGGGGCATAGGGGGGCGGCGCCCACTCCCGAGCGCCCGCGGGGGCCCCTTCACCTCGGGGCCGCGATTTCCCCTCCGCAGTGACCCCAGCCACCGCCAGGGGCAGCCGCAGGCCAATTCTGGGGCGTTCGCTGCCAGGCCGGGCCCGCGAGGGGCGGGGCATCCCAGCCCCGAATCGGCTGCTCCAGTCTTGCGCGCTCAGACCCTTCAGGTTCTAGGTTCAAGGCCTGGTCCTCTCCACGTGGAACCCCTGGCAGATGGTGAGCCCAGCAAGGGTATAGCGTGGGGCCTGTCTGAGCCGGGTTTTGGGCGACCTGGAGTTCTGTCCCAGCACAGCTGCGTCGTGTTTCCGGGTAGAAATCTGTCTCATCACCCTGCATTCTGCTCACAGGCCCCGCACTCCGTTCGTTGTTCGTTCAGGCAGCACTTCCTGGGGGGGGTCTGTCCGTACCCTGGCCCCCCCGCACCGAAGCCCCGGTTAACCTCCCCTCCCTGGATCCCTCCCCACAGGAAGGAGGCCAGGAGCCCGACATCTCTCCTAAACTGGGACTTGCCCAGGGAGGGCCCAAGGGACATCCTGGGCCACACAACAACTTGGCCCAGGGTTTAAAATTAAAGCGGCTCCCAGGAGGCCTTCCACACATCACTCCCATTGCTCTGGCATTTGGGGGGTGGAGAGAGGGCTTTATCCATCCTGGGGCCACCGGGGTGCCCTGGGGCCAGTGGGGTGCCTGGAGTCCCCTCCAGTCTGGGCCTGAGCTCTGGGCTGAGCTCACATGTACAGAGCACAGGGTCCTCAGGCTCAGCTCAGGCTGGGAGAGAGGGGCTCTGGACAGTGATCAGCTTCCTGTCCCCAAGCTGATCCCTCCTGCTACAGGACAGAGCCAAGGGACCTTGTTGATGGGTCCCTTGGAGGAACAAGGCCCTTGATGGGACAGTGTCCCACGTGGGTTCTGTGGTTAGCTTAGTGGCTCCCAAGGAGGGGTAGGGAGGCCACCTAGAAGTGGCTAGTCCTGTCCCAGGGGCCCACCCTGAGGCAGAGTAGGAAGGTCTCTAGCAAGGACAGGGCAGGAATGGTATGGCCTTGCCGTCTTCCTTGTCCACCCTGTCCACCCTTCCTGCCAAACAGCCACACAGCCACCCGCCTGGCTCTGTGGAACCCAAACTGCTCAGTCCCTCAGTCCCCACCGAGTGTGCCCACTGGCCACCAGGAAGCGCCTTTATTTCTGCTTTAAACCACTGAACAAGGAGGGTGTGTGCCCAGCCTGGGCCATGTGGAAAATGGCAGGGGCCGAGGTCCTGGCTACCCTGGGGAGGCAGGAGGCTTTGCTGCCCCGTGTCCGGGCAGGCCCCACCCTCTGTGCCCCAGTTTGGCCACCCTGGCCCTGAGGAACCCCAAGCAATCAGCAGAGCCATGCCCTGTCCTCAACTGTCACTGGGCCAGGGGTGCCCGGTCCCCGCAGCTGGCACACTCTCTACCAGTGTCATCCGCTGGTGCTCCTGGCAGACTCGTGGAGGGGGCTGCAGAGATACGAGAGCCTCCATGTTGGGGGCTGCAGCTGGGGCGGGTCCCACGGGTCCGAGGTAAGCCTGTGACAGGCACCCGGCAAGGGCATGCGCCAGGGGTATGAGAAGGGGGAGGCACTGGGCATGGGAGTTCCAGGGAGGGAGGACGAGGACAGCTCTGGAAGCAGCGCCCCTCTTCGTCCAAGAAAAGGGCTGGCGGAGTGAAGGGCGGCCCGGGGCACACTGGGACCTCCCCAGGGCCCAAGATCCGGAGTTACCCAAAGGGCACCAGGGTGGCTGCTGGGCTGGGCCATGGGCGGGTGTGAGCAGGTTGGAAGGGCGGGAAGGGGCCCAGCTCCTCAGGTGACAGTGGCCCCTTGTGTCAGTGCTTCGGGCAGCCTGGCACTCACCTGGCTCAGGCTGGCTCTGAGGAGCTCCCCTCCGGGTGCCCTCTGGGGGCCAGCACAGCTCCCCGCTTTCCACAGCACCCACCTCGCTGGGCTCCACCACGATGGAGGGCAGCCGGGGGCCCAGCCCAGGGCCCTTCTCCCAGGCACCCGCTGCAGCCTGCCAGAGGGTGGGCAGGGTGAGGGCAGCGCCCACCCGGAGCCCTAGGGCGGGGTGAGTCTGGGGCCCTGTGGGGTCCTGGGGGCCAGTTCTCAGCCCCAGAAGCCCCTTCACAGACCGCCTGGGGCTGGAGAGGCGAAGTCACCCCAGAAGCTGGTCCAGGGCCAACACACACTCAGCCACCTGCAGCCCCGAGCCCTGGGCAGCCCCTTCCTGGGGTCTTCCCTCCTGGGCCCTGGGCCTCCTCCCTCTGCTCAGAGGAGCCAGGAAGATGTTGCCATGGCAGCCTGAGCTCTGGCACTCAGCTCTTTGTTCAGTGCCCACACCAGCCCTCCGGGTGCCCTGGGCATCTCTGCCTCCCATTCAAGGCCTTTGCGGGTAGAAGCTGTGGCAGGACCTTGCACCTCACCGTCTCTAGTGCCCAGCCGCCCCCGCCCCCGCCCCCATCTCTGCTGCTAGGACAGCTGCTGGGGCAGGCACACCTTCCCGGGGCGCAGGGGCTCCCAGGAAACGCAGGCGCCCAGCAGGCAGGACTCTGCCAAACAGCCCGGGGAATGCTTCGGCCCCCAGAGCTGGCCCCACAGCAAATTCCAGGCTCTGCCCAGGACCCTCACTAACCAATGACCAGGGGGAGCTGAAGTGTGGGACCGGGGTGCCAGCAGGCTGAGGCACGAAAGAGCAGATGGGCCCGGCTAGGGCTCTGCTCCTCCCTGGCGCCCTCCTCAGGGCCTTTTCCAGAGCCTGACCTGGATGGGGAGGGTGTCCGGGCTGGCAGAGCCTGCAGGGCGGCCATGCCCGAGACCCCGAATGCAGGCGGCCCCAGGTGAGTCTCCCTCCCTGGCCAGCTCCCAGCCCCACTGAGGCTGACGCTCTGGTATTGCACTACCATGCAGCCAGCAAAGTGTGCCCTGGGCTTGGTGGGCAAGCCTCGGTGTCCCCCGGCCAGATGGGGTGCTAAGTCGGCTGGGGTGACTCCCCTTCAACTGCTTTATTCACCAGATGTCTATAGAAGAGAAACCAAGGGCCGGGGATGTAGCTCAGTGGTTCCAGTGCCTGCCTCGCAAATGCAAGGTCCCGAGTTCGATCCCCAGTACCAAAAACTAAAAAAATTAAAAAAAAAAAGAGAAACCAGCCAGGGGTGGTGGTGCACGCCTGTAATCCCAGCACTTGGGAGGCTGAGGCAGGAGGATCACCACAAATACCAGACCAGCCTGGGCTACACAGTGAGACTCTACCTCAGAACATTAAAAATAAATAAATAAATGAGTAACTGCCTCCTCAACTAAGGTGGGTAAACAGGCCGGCAGTGAGGACAGGCATGCCCCAGCTCATGGGTCAGGCTGGAGGCAGACTCCCCCCATCCCACACTGAGGGTCCCAGCCACTCACCTTCCCTGCAGGGCCTCCCATGCCCTGGGCTGGGCCTCCCTCTGACACGGCGGGCTGGGAGGTGCTCATGCTGCCACCACCACCACAGCTGCACTGCAACAGCCTGGAGTGAGGGTCCTCTCCTCCCAGAGCCTGCAAGCTGCTCAGCCCACCCCACAACCAGCCCTGGCCAGATCTGCTGAGCCCCATCACAGGGGCCACTGGACACTGCCACAGTGCCCAGGGCTGTGGGGTATGGGCAGGAGGAGGAGAGACTTCCTGGGAGACCTGCTGGCCTGGTGGGGAGCAGGAGGGAGCAGGGTCCTGGGCAGGGAGTGGCGGGGGGAGGGGGTGAGAACCCAGGCCCCAAGGGGTGCTGAGCCAGGAGGCTGAGAGTAGCATCTGCCATTCCCATCAGCCAGAGCCCAAGGTGCCCAGTTCCTCCAAGAGGGAGAGGGAGGGAGAGACAGAGACTGAGAGAGAGAGACAGAGAGAGAGAGAGAGAGACACACACACACACACACGCACACGCACTACCTCTGAGGGACACTGATGTCCTTCCTGCCACGACCATCCACGCGGGCCACGTCCAGGGAGCTCGGCCACAGCCACCAAATCGAGGTTCCGGGAGAGGCCTGGGGGAAGTCAGGGGCCTGGCCTCAGACCCCTGCACGGTGGCCGGAGGTCTGGCAGGCAGAGACCCCGGTGGGCAGTCGGGCGCGGGCTGCCGCTCCGGGTGAGCTCGGTCAGCTCAGGCCCCGGACCCAGGGCGGCCGGGCGGGGCGCCAGGCGGGGGGATCCCGCAGTGCACGGCGGACCCACGGTGCCTCCTCCCTCTGCTCCGGTCCGTCCAGGTCCTGGGCCTCTCAGCCGGGACAGAGACCCAGACGGACGTGGGCGCGAGCGGGGCCCAGAGGGCGCAGTAGGCAGCTCAGCTGCCGCCCCCGCGCCCACCCACACGTGCGCTCAGGTGCGCAGGGTCAGGTGCGCCAGGGCCGCGCCCGAGCCCACGCGCCCCCCAGAGCCCTGCGCCTGTCCCGCCCCCCCCGCTCACCCCGCCCACCCCGCTCACCCCGCTCACCGCCGGGGCGGGTCCGCTCGCTCCCGCCCGCGCCCCGCGCCTCCCGCCTCCGGCCTCCCGGCTCAGCCACCTACGCGCGCCTCATTCACACTCACGCCCTCCGCGGTGGGCGGGGCCGCCTTGGCCGGAGAGCAGGACCGGGGCCCCTGGGGACTGCGCCCTTCAATGTGAGGGCGCAGAGATGTCGGGCGCGGATACACGGGAGGGGACGCCTGCGCTTGGGACGACAGAAGGGAGGAGAGCGGAGGACGCGGGAGCACCAACGCGGGGCGGGCGGGGCGGTCACCGGCTCCCCGCTCCTCCCCATCCCCCAAGAGGAGCAGAGCAGCCCGGGACAGCCAGCCCCGTCCAGCGGGCGCGCAGAAGGCGCCAGGCCCGGCCGGAGAGCGTCATCTCCACCAGACTCCCAGCGCCTATCCACAGCTGCTGTGGGTTCCTTAGCATCCAGCTTCCACCCGCCCGCAGTCCGCCGTCCACTTAGCAGCCACATCTGTCTGCGGTCCAGGCTGCTCAGCCTTCTCCTACCCAGGCACGGTGCAGCGTGGACCTTGCCTCCTGTGGCCTAAGTCAGTGACCCAGCTCAACCTACCCACTCGGCCCGCCCTCCAGCCCCCGCAGCCG